TTGAGCCACAGGCACTGAGCCAGGTACCAAACTTTGACAAGACCCTTTTCTACTGCCAGCTAATCACAGACCTAATTGTTATTTGGGAATGGGAACTTACTCTATAAAAATTCCATATAGCTCTTCAACTAATTGCAGCTAAGCAGAGGACACATCAGATTAGCCAGTAGGAATGAGATGAATTATTTGAAGTCAGAGCATTAAGTCACTGGGTATATCTGTTGTACTTTACAGTATTTATCTTCGATTGTTTCTGCTTCACCCCTTCTGAAAGCTGACTGATCTCTGCATTTCCAGGAGGGTTCTCAATGGACTAAGCATTCATAATACCCAAGAGCAGCAGTTCTTACCATGGAACATTCTAGAATGACCACTCCATCTCCATTTGGCCTATAAAAATGAAGTCAGACTCTGGCAGTGATGCCTAGGTATTGGTGTCCTTAAGGGTCTCAGGTAATTCTGATGAGTAGCCAGGATTGAGAACCATTCTTGGACTGATAATTCACATTACAATGGAGCATAGGGAATAACATAAACAAGGTTTTAAGGATTTTCTTGATCTTCTGCTTTAGGGCTCCTCTTGTTTCCCTTGACATTACTTTCGCCCTGTTGACATCTACCCACTCCACTGCGTCTGCATCAAATTTCTATTCATGAGAATAATCCATCAATTCTGAAAATGAAATGTTCAAATAGGACATGCTATACAGTCTAGGATTTCCCAATGATTTAATTATCAAATTACTAGAGCTGGCTGCCAAGCACAAACGATTTCACTCAGTTTCACTATTTTATAACATAATTCAAAGAACATTTGAATTTCTAATTCAATTTTGGTTCTTTTGAGACTACTTGAGAAGAGAGTTTCATATATCTCTAATGATAGCTCCATTCCTGGGCTTCTAATCACTCTGGGGTTGCACTTCACTTTTGATGTACAATAATACATGTGCTGAAGGAGAATTGGTGCTGAAATAGCTTAATTATCCTAAATTGTTTTTATCTTAAGTAGACTTCCCTGATTAAAAAGGAAGAGGTTTGAGCGGGAAGAGAGCTGAATGGGACCCAGAGAATTCAAAGACAGAGGTGAAAACAAAGGCAGGAAGCGGGGTAGGAAACAATGGGTTTTCCCAGTGTGCCTGCTTTTTAGAACCACACAGACTCCTAAGCTCAAAAGCACATTTGTTCATTGTTTTTCACTCCCAGAAAACCAGAAAAGTTGAACAGTTCTGGAACAAAAAGGGAACTTGTGTGGTTAAGATAGCATTCCTAGACCTTGACCAAAGAACTTCTTTGTTTAAGAAAGCTACTCATCTGCACTGAACCACTGCAGGTCAAGGTTTTTGCAAGGAGAGACCAGTTGTGGGAAATCGCTCCAAGCCAGTCAGAGGATCAGAGGATCAGACGATGCCAGCCACCAACAGGGTGATGCTGGAGCCACAAACTTCAAATAGTGTGATACTTAGCCACAAAAGTGTGATATTTATGCTAAAGCAATTCTACCTCGTTCACCAAACTAACAAATGTTTACTTTTAAGAGCAGTTAGGTACTGCCAGATACAGGATACATTTATTTTTCTCGTAAGGATCTAATGAGGACAGCACAATTTCCAAATGGCCAGCAGATGGCGCAAAGAGGCAGGACCAGATTGAGAGAGGGGCTTAACCTGCAGCAACCCCAGAACCAAGGCAGACTGTTTTTACTTCTGTTCATGTGGTGAATTATGTTTATGATTGTGGGTTTGAATTCTGAATTATTGATTTTTGTGTGTTGAACCAGCCTTGCATCCCTGGGATGAACCCACCTGGTCATGATGTATTTTTTATATACATATATAAAATATATATATATATATATAAAATATATATATATATTTGCTAAATTCTGCTTGCTAGGATTTTATTGACTATTTTTGCGTCAATACTCATTAGTGATATTTTGGTCTGTAGTTTTATTTTTTTGTTGAAGCCTCTTCTGGTTTTGGTATCAGGGTGATGTTTGCCTTGTAGAAGGAATTGGAGAGGGTTCCTGCCTTCTCAGTATTTTATTTTACAGAATAGGATCTATAATATAGGTACAAGTTCTTTGAAGTTTTGGTAAAATTTTGCTGTGAAACCATTTGATACAGGACTTTTTTTTATTGGAAGCTTTTTTACTGGTGTTACAATTTTGATGCTTGATATTAATAGGTCTGTTCAAGAGTTCTATTTCTTTTTATTTGAGAGGAGGGAGGAGATTGTGTGATTCCAGGAATTGGTCTATTTCCTCTGTATTTTCAAATTTCTGGGCATAGAGTTTTTTGTAGTATTCAGTGATCATCTTTGTATCACTGTAATACCTATTGTTATTTCCCCTTTTGTTTCTGATTGAGCTCTTTCGAGATCTAATTTTCTGTTCTAGTTAATCTGGCCAAAGGTTTATCAATTTTATTTATCTCTTCAAAGAACTAACTTTTTGTACTAAATGTAGACCTTCCATTTGATCCTGTAATCCCATAACTAGTTATCTACCCAAAAGAAAAAATGTCCCTTTTACTGTAAGGACATTTGCACTCAAATATTTATAACAGCTCAGTTCACAATTGCAAAGATATGGAAACAACACAAGTGCCCATCAACCCATGAATGAATTAACAAATTATGGTGTATGCATACTACGGAATACATAAAAAGACGGAAACTTTGCATCTTTTATATTTACTTGGAAGGACTTGGAGAATGTTCTCTAAGTAAAGTCTCATAAAAATGGAAAAACAAGCATCTTATGTACTAAATTTTTAGAGTCTCAAGCTGTCACCCTGGGTAGAGTGCTGTTGTGTCACAGCTCACAGCAACCTCCAACTCATGGGCTTAAGTGATTCTCTTATCTCAGCCTCCCAAGTAGCTGGGACTACAGGCTCCTGCCACAACACCCAGCTATGTTTTGGTTGTAGTTGTCATTCTTATTTGGTAGGCCCCAGCTGGATTTGAACCCGCCAACTTTGGTGTATGTAGCTGGCACTCTAACTGCTGAGCTACAGGTGCCGAGCCTTATGTACTAAATATTAAATGAAATCAGTAGAGTAACAACTATAGGCTCACATGAGAGAAACACACAAATTCAAGAAGGGGAAAGGGTTACCATCAAGTTAATAGCTGGCTGAAACTGAGTGGTGACTATCCTTTAAAGGGGCCAATTTCCCATCATCCTTTGCTTCATATGCTGCTATTGCCCAGACACTGAAGACATGTGACTTTGTCCCCTCTGCACACAATCCCAGCCCAACCTATGCTCTGCATTTCATCACAAACCATCTTTAAAACTGGAAAGCAATGAAAAGCTAGTGCAAAGCATGGAGACCTTCACGGATGATGTGGTTCAGAAGAGGATTTCAATGAATTTGCATTTGATGTTCAAATTATCTGGCACATTGCCTCAGAGACAGCAGCCTTGGGAGAGTTGAGCTCCCCAACTCACACTGGGCAGCAGCGTGATCTATTCTATCAACTCTCTCTCTCTACTTTTTTCTTTTTGAGGCAGAGTCTCACTATGTTGCCTTTGGTAGAGTGCCATGGCATCACAGCACACTCTAACTCTTGGTCTTAAGCAATTCTCTTGACTCAGCCTCCCAAGTAGCTGGGACTACAGGTGCCCACCATAACACCTGGCTATTTTTTGTTGTAGTTGTCATTGTTGTTTACCTAGCCCAGGCCAGGTTTAAACCCACCAGCTTCAGTGTGTGTGGCTGGCACTGTAACCACTGTGCTATGGGCACCGAGCCTCCCTCTCTCTGTTTATATTTTTTTAATTTTTAGAGGCAGGGGCTCACTCTGCCACCCTGGCTGGAGAACAGTGGTATGATCATAGCTCGTGCAGCCTTGAACTCCTGGGCTGAAGTGATCCTCTTCATTCAGCCTTCCCAGTCATTAGGACTACACATGCATGCTAGCATGCCCAGCTAATTTTTCTTATTTTCTTAGAGAGGGGGTCTTGCTAAGCTGTCCAGGCTGGTCTCAAACCTCAGGACTCGAACCTCCTATCTCAGCCCCCCAAGCTGCTAGAATTTCAGACATGAGTCACTGTAGCTGGCTCTCTATTAACTTGCAAGACCCATGATGGGACCTTGAGGCAGGTCTCTCAAACTATCTAGCCCTCTGTTCTCTGGCAGGCAGTGGGCAAGGGGAAATTGTTTTTTTAGCCTTCATTAAATGGTGAAAAAATGTTGGGCTCATGCCACCAGCACAGTGGAGGGAAGTAGAACTGTGACTTCATATAGAGATGCATAGCCCTGCCTTCCTCTTACCCAGCACCAGGAGATGGCATATTCTGACTTGGCAGATTTATGGGGTTTCTTGACCAAGATTCATGACCTGAAGGGTCACTGTCCCTCCTCTTTGGTCCCTTCATAGTCCATACAGTCCATATGGAATAGGGCAAGGAAAAGATGGATCATACTCTTCAAAATAAAATGCAGATGTGTTTCTTAACAAATCATCTGTAGTGGGGTGGCTTTTTTCCCTTATGATTTCATCTTCTATTCTAAACTCATCATTCTAAATACATCATAGTTCCTTGCAAAAAAAAAAAAAAAAAAAAAAGGAAAGGCTTGGGCAACTGTCTGCCTTGGGCTCAGTGTGGAGGAGGAAGGCGCCTCCACGCTGCCAGCAGGCAGCCTTCACTGGCTATGGGTACGGTCCAGGGGGGCTCCCTTCCTTTTGGCTCTTTTCCAAAAGCAGATGCTGAATAGTTTCTTCCTGGCTAAAACCATGTGCAGCTTAAAGACGTTGTCACAGATTGACTGTAGTCACAACAGGTGCCTGTGGGCCAGGCTTGTGTGCGTGAGAGAGGAAAGCAGGCAGTTACAGTTCTACTCTCCTGGTCTTCAGTTAGCCCTGGGAAGAGGACGCTACAAGGAGCCCAGGGAAGGTGCAGGGTGTGAGAGGAAGTGAACGAGAGGAGGAGGAACATGACCCAGGGCGGCTGAGTCAGAGGGTGCTGAGCCTGGGGGACGTGGCCGTACCTGGAGCTGCCGCATCTGCTGCAGTTGGACCCTGAGCTCGGCCACACTGCGCCGCATGTCCAGCAGGCTCGCGTGGATGGCAGAGGCGCCCGCAGGCGGGGGCTGGCTGGGCGGTGCTGCAGCCTCCAGGGCACCCAGGGGCTTCCCACCAGACACGTGGGGTGATCCTAGGAGAGGGGAGCAACAGAGTTCATAAGACACTGGAAAGGAAAGCCCAAGCTATAGCCTGACCCACACAGCTTACTGCTCTAAAAACGCTCATTTCAGCTGCACCCGGTGGCTCACACCTGTAATCTTAGCACTCTGGGAGGCTGAGGAGGGTGGATTCCCTGAGCTCTGGAGTTTGAGACCAGCCTGAGCAAGAGTGAGACCCAGTCTCTACTAAAAAGAGAAAAACTAGCTGGGCATTTTGCTGGGACCTCCCTACTTGGGAGGCTGAGGCAGGAAGATCACTGGAGCCCAGGAGTTTGAGGTTGCTGTGAGCTATGATGTCACAGCACTCTACCCATGGTGACAGAGTGAGACTCTGTCTCAAAAACAAAAACAAACAAACAAAAAAAAACTGGCAGCACCTGTAGCTCAGTGAGGGCCAGCCCCATATACTGAGGGTGGCAGGTTTGAATGTGGCCCTGGCCAAACTGCAACAACAAAAAGAATAGCTAGGTGTTGTGGTGGATGCCTGTAGTCCCAGGTACTCGGGAGGCTGAGGCAAGAGAATTGACTAAGCCCAAGAGCTGGAGGTTGCTGTGAGCTGTGATGCCATGGCACTCTACCGAGGGTGATGAAATGAGACTCTAGCTCTAAAAAAAATAAAAATTAAAAAAAAAAAGGAAACAAATAAATTTATTTCTTTCATTAAGAAAAACCAGTTTAGGGTGGTGCCTGTGGCTCAAGGAGTAGGGTGCCGGCCCCATACACCAGAAGGTGGTGGGTTCAAACCCAGCCCTGGCCAAAAACTGCAAAAAAAAAAAAAAAAAAAAAAAAGAGAGAGAGAAACCAGTTTAAATCATGCAATGTTACAGTATGCAGTCAGCAAACCTCTTGAAACTCTAGAAGTTTAGTGCCACAGGAAAGCAGAATGATAGCATGATGCCATGTGAAGGAAGATCTTCCCATGTATCCATCTGCTCCTCGATTTTTTTGAGATAGGGTCTTGTTCTTTTGCCCCAGTTAGAGTGTAGTAGCATCATCATAGCTCACAGCAACCTCAAATTCCAGGGCTCATGCAACCTTGATGCCTCCCCCACTGAGTAGCTGAGAGTACAGGCATCAATCATCACACTTGGGTAATTTTTTTTCTACTTTTAGTAGAGATGGGGTCTCACTTTTGCTCAGGATGGTCTTGAATTCTGGCCTCAAGTGATCCTCCTGCCTTGGCCTCCCAGAGTGCTAGGAGTACAGGCATGAGCCACCCAACCTGGTCCTATCTATCTTTTTTTATTTTTATTTTTTTAAATTTTATTTATTTATTTTTAAATAAAACATTCACAGCAGGCCAAGTGCTAGCAAAGTAGCAGATAGAAGACCTAGTGGGAAGTTTTTTGTATGGTCACGTCCACTATCTATCTTTAAACACACAGGTTTACATAGAAAAAAGTTTAGAAGTCTAGATAACAAATCATTAACATTATTTCTAGCTCAATTCCAATATGAGTTGAACTTTTTTATTGGCTTTGTTGGGGTAATTTAAAACCTGTATGGTGAATATAAATTTCATAATAGAAAACAATAATTTTAAAATTTGAGACCTTTCATCATCTCCAATGACAGCTGCATGTTAGAATTAACTACTACCTTCCAATGTCGGCTATTCTGAGATGGGATCACAATCAATTACCAGCTCTCCTTTTATAATCGGTCAAACTGCTTTATCATCGCTCCCTGTACAGAGACATAGGTGTGTATGTATGTGTGTGCAGACATGCACACACACACTGCACATACAATGTGTAATATCATTTGTACAGCAAATGATACCACCAAGGTATTTCTCTAACAAAGAGGATACTGTGCTGGCTAAGCCCCCTTCTGTTTGGTAAGAACCATCGTGCCAAGTCCTCAGTCAAAGGAACACACACATTCTTTCCTCATCCCTGTTTCTCCTTACCCATTCCCCTGAAGGCACTAGTGCACCTTACCAATCTTTTATTATTTTTTTCTTTTTCAGTCAGGGTCTTGCTCTGTCACCCAGGTTGGAGTGAATGCAGTGGAGTGAATGCATCATAGCTCACTGTAGCCTAGAGCTCCTAAGATCCAAGTGATTCTCCTGCCTCGGTCCCAGTAGCTGGGACTACGGATGTGCACCACCACGTCTGGGCTAATTTTTCTATTTTTTTGTAGAGATGGAGTCTTGCTCAGGTTGGTTTTGAACTCCTGGCCTCAGGAAATTCTCCTGCTTTAGCCTCCTACACACTGGGATTACAAGTGTGAGCCACTGCACCTAGTCACCAATATTTTACTCCACTGGAGGAGAGGCTAAGTCTCCACACCATCTGTGACAGTTAAATGCTTGATTAACTGGTTTAAAAATATCTTTTGCAACCAAACTTCTATATGGAATCTACACTCATTTGTTAAACATCTTCATCTATAACCACTTAGTGCATTATATCTGGTTTCTAGCTCCATCATTCACGGGAATGGCTCTTCATAATGGAACCGGTGATCTCCTAGTTGTCAACCTCATAGACACTCTCCAGGGCTGACAAGACTTGGCTTCAGGGTGATGCCACACTTTGTCACTTCTTTCCTTTTTAGTCACTCTGAAAGTTTCCTCTCTTTGTCATCTTCCCTCTGTGCTGTTCCATCTTAGCCCATCTCTTTTCTAATTCCTTCCTCTGTCAACTTTTTACATTCTGGAGTCCTGGGTCTCTTGTCATTGGACCTTATTTGTAGGGAGATCACTTTTGCTACCACCGCCCACCAAGGGCTCCCACATCCTCATCTGCAGCATACAATTATCCTTAGATCTGCATACTGATAATGTCATGCCATTACTGGACTTTTCCATAAGCAGGTCAAGTTCATTATTTCCACTCACGTATCCCAAACTTCTGTCTCTGTGGGCCTAATGCTAGCCAGTAGCAATACTATCCAGAAACCTGGGAGTCATTCTCAATATCTACTTTCTAGGGTGTGACCTCAAGTAAGTAACTTAACCTTTCTCTCAGGTTCCCTGTCTGTAAAATTGATGTAAGGGTTATTGTGTGGGCTGACAGGACACATGTAAGCTGCTTAGCCTAGTGTCCGGCACAGAGAAAGTCCTCACCGCAGTTAGCTATGATTATTATTTCTCTGAGCAGAGTGGGAAGAAGACCCCCTAATTGCTCTCCCCCCCGCCACTGAGAGTCGCTACAGAAGTTGGGGGGCGGCTGTGCCTGGCTGAGATCCATAAGCCAGTGCCCTGAATTTTAGGTCCAGTATGGAGCTACATCTGGTGGTTGGGGACCCCAACTGGCAAATGAGTTCCCCTTTAAATTAGATTGACAAGACCTGGGATCAACCCACCACACCCACACACGGAGGGGGTCACATTCTGTTCCCTGCATGCCCAGCCTAGAAAGAACGTTCAACCTATAGCTTGGCCTCAGACCTCATTCCTTTCTATGCACTTCACCCTCCCCAGGCGATTAATTTTGGTCAGTTTTCCCACAATACGAATCTTATTAAATGCACAGTTGATGTGGATCTAATGTATCTTGTTGGGATAAGAAGAACATGGGTCTGGGGGCTGACCGGACTGGCTGTTACTCTTACTCGCTGTGTGTGGCCTTAGAGGAGTAACTTAACTTCCCTGAGCTTCCATTTCCTTCCATGTAAAACATAAATAGTAACATCTTCCCTTGTAGGGTTATGTGCATTAAAGGACCTAATGTCCAGCATAAAACCCCTGGTATGCTTTTGAGACGGGAGGTTCCTTTTGTTTCCTTATTACACAGTAAACTCCCTATGCCTAAAGAACCAGGAAGTCTGGGTTTCCCTTTTTTGTTTATTCTTGGCCAATTCTTGACTTCTCTGTAATTCCATCTACTTCTTTTAAAGGAGAGGGCTGATACTTCTTGTCTTGTAGCTTACTTCCTAGGATTCTGGAAGAATCACTCTATTTTGTGCACTGTACAAGGCTGCTATGGCAACTAAGCCCCTGTGGACAGTGTCTAGCCCTGATACATCAGAATGAGAAAGTCTGAACTTGGCAGAGACGGGGGAGGGAGCGATTCCACGTGAGCATTGCTGGGGGCATCACAGATCGGCTCAGCCTTTCGGAAGCAGCGTGTTGCCAGTGCTACCAACCTGTTTGTCCCTTTGGGCTCATTGGTTCCCCTTTGGGATATATGGTGGGGGAAGTTACACTCTCTCCTTACCTAGGCTCCCAAAAGAAATTTACAAGATTTCCCAAAACAAAGAAATGAAACAACTCACACGGTATATATAATGTTTAAAGGGACTGGGGGTGGACTGCTTGAGCTCAGGAGTTTGAGATCAGCTTGAGCAAGAGTCAGACCTGGTCTCTACTAAAAATAGAAACACTAGCCAGGTGTTGTGGCAGGTGCCTGTAGTCCCAGCAACTTGGGAGGCTGAGGCAAGAGAATCACTTGAGCCCAAGAGTTTGAAGTTATTGTGGGCTATGATGAGGTCACGGCACCCTATCAAGGGTGATAGAGTGAGACTCTGTCTCAAAAAATAAATAAATATGTGGCAGGTGCCTGTAGTCCCAGCTACTCAGGAGGCTGAGACAAGAGAATCTCTTGAGCCCAAGAGTTGGAGGTTGCTGTGAGCTGTTGATGCCATTGCACTCTACTGAGGGTGAGAAAGTGAGACTCTGTTTCAAAAATAAACAAATAAAAATAAGGAGACTGGGGTATCTTTTTTTTTTTTGAGACAGCCTCAAGCGGTCGCCCTGGGCAGAGTGCTGGGGCATCACAGCTCACAACAATCTCAAACTCTTGGGTTTAAATGATTCTCTTGCCTCAGTCTCTGAAGTAGCTGGGACTATAGGCGCCTGCCATAACACCTGGCTATTTTTTGGTTGTAGTTGTCATTGTTGTTTGGCAGGCCTGGGCTGGATTCGAACATACCAGGTCTGGTGTATGTGGCTGGCGCCCTAGCCGCTGAGCTTTGGGCACCGAGCCGAGACTGGGGTATCTTAACATAAAAGCGTACAGTAGATGGTCAGGTGTGTGGACTATATGGGTGGGTGTCACATGCTTACAGACACATGCTCAGTTTCCTCTTCTGGGACACTGGAATAAAAATGACCCTTGAAGCCACAGTCAGGAGTTGATGAATGAATGCATAAAAAGCATTCAGCACAGAGCCTGGCACATTAAAAACACCACAAGCCTCCTATCCTTATCATTATTATTTCACAAAAGGAGAATACAAGAGCACACGCACATATCGATTAGAACAATGGTATGAGATGCTAATCCCGTTTCCAGAACGGATTCCAGGGGGATGGGAGATTTTAGTATTTAGTAGGTTCCTCCCCCTGCTTAAGTTCATAATAACATTAAAAAAAAAATGAATGGATAAATGTGTTTGAAACGAACTGGCAATTGCTCTGAAGACAAGTTTAGCAATTTCCATGAAATAATTCTTTGGCTTCGGCCAAGGCCACTGATTGATTTCTAAGCAAAACAACAATTCCTGCCAAAGCTGTCTCCTTGGCTTTGTAGCTAAACTGTGCTCAGCCGGTGCAGCACCAGCACCACCAGAGGCCTGACCTAAGTCCCCAGCTCTATTCCCTCCGCCATGCTGCACAAAACTAGCACATGTGGCTTCCCTAAATTTGGGGTTTTACCCAACTTGCCATATGCTTCCTGTGTAATTTAGTATCTGAACATGTCCCTGCTAACAGTTTCTATTTCTAAACTGATGGGCGGGGAGACTGTATCTTCTTGAAGGCGGGGAGACTGTATCTTCTTGAAGGAGCTTCTCCTGAGGCTGCGGGATGAGACATTTTATCATGCAGAGCTGGGTGCTAGTGACACCACTGCTGGTGGACTGGGTCCTCTTTGGGGGCAGGAAGGCTGGCATTTAAACAGCAGGGCCCTGGTCCAAGTACACCTTCACATCCTGTCTGGACACCTGGTCGTTCCCTCCTGGCCCTCGTTCCTTCTCATCCATTCCCATATTGCAGCTGGACTGATGTCCTTCCCCAGCGGACAGCCTTCTAGCAGCGTCACTGTGTACTTAGAATAGTATGTACATTCCTTTGACCTGGATGGCTCTTGTCCCCTCAAAGTCCTGTTCATCCACAGACCCCAGGGACATGCCCCCAGGGCTAGTTAAACATTTATTCTCATTCTTAATACTCAGTCCTCTTGAAATTGTCTCATTGTCCATCTTCCCCTCCCGGACTCTGAGTTGTAGGCAGGCAGCCCTGTGTCTCCATGAGGCCCACTATCTGGCCATCGAAATGAATAAATGGATGAGTAAGTGAATGAATGAAGGAAGACTGAGGAAAGAAGACACTGCTTTGGACCCCGAATCAATGGCAGAATCTGGAATTTCAGCATTAGCAAAAAAGATGTGGTCCCACATAAGAGAAAGACTCATTTCAATTCAATTTGAAGGAGGGGTATCAAGGAAGGGGAAGGGGGAGGGGAGGGGGGGTGTTCTCACTAAATGGGCATGGGGTTGGGGTGTTTGGCAACCTTTTTTTTGAGACAGAGCCTCACTTGATTACCCTTGGTAGAGTGCCATCATGTCTTAGTTCACAGCAACCTCAAACTCTTAGGTTCAAGTGATTCTCCTGCCTCCCATGTAGCTGGGACTACAGGCACCTGCCACAGCACTTGGCTGTCTTTCAGAGACAGGTTCTCGCTCTTGCTCAGGTTGGTCTCAAACTCACGAGCTCAGGCAATCCACCCGCCTCAGCCTCCCAAGTGCTAGGATTATAGGAATGAGTCACCATTCCTGGCCATGGCTCACTTTTTATGCATGGGACATAACCACAAGAGGGACTCTATCTGACAGAATCAAATATTTTGACCTGGTTCTTTGTACCCTCACATTAACCTGAAATAAATTTACTTTTTTTTTTTAAAAAAAAAGGTACCTGCAGGGCTCTGGGGGCTCCCAAGTTCGCTTACTTACCTGTACTGTCTGTGTGATTCCTGGCTGTGGTTTTCATCAATTTCTCACTGAATAAAAGAAAAAAAGAGTCAGCCATTCAGTTCCCAAATGTCTTTTGTTTTCTGTTTCCTGTTCATTCACTATTTGAAGCAATTAGCAGTGATGGGATTAAGCGATGAAGATATTTTAGCATCAGCACCACGATTGGCTGGGATGGAAAAGGCTTCTCAGGCGCACACCTGACACCAGGGGGTGGAGGGCAGCCGGCACACTGGTGACTGTCAGATGATGGCAACATGACACAGAGGATGGTGGTTGCAGGCAGAGTGCAGTGAGTGGTCCATGAAGCCACATGCACTGGGAAGCCCATTCACCCTTCTTGGGCCAAAGTGTGACCTTCGACCAAGAATTATCAGAAGGAAAAAAAAAAACAATACAAAACAAAAACAAAAACAACAACCCCAAATACCCCCAAACAAAACCACCCATGATTCACAGAGATGTAAATATTTTCAGCCTTGAAATGATTACAAGGAAACGGATTTGAATGAATGAATTATCTTAATGATTAAAGAGAAACAGATCGAATTATGCTTTCATGGTTTTCTTCTTCTTTTTGTTTGTTTGTTCTTTTTACCTAGATGCATCTTTGCTATAACTTGTAATAGGCCCTTTAAAAAGTGCAGACTGAACCAGGCCAGTTAAACTGGCAATCTGTTTCTCCATGGCTTGCATCCTCTCTCTGTAAAACAAGAGAATTGTTCGTTAAGGCTCTATTGACTCTCAGACTGGTTTCGAGACCTGAAGAATTATAAAAGGTCCTACCTAGAAGGCTGCCCAAGTTCACCCAGCCTGGCTCAGGAACATGAAGAGCCTGCCGATCCCCAGTTGAGGTCAAGATGTGATGATCAGAGTTTAGGATCAAACCAGGGACCTTCTTGTATAAACCAGCAGAGGTCTCCCTGGAAACTGAAAAACATCTCCCTCGGAAATACCTCTGCGTGTTACTTGTCTGGGAACCTTTCAGCTCTGCTTTTCTTCTTTCACCTTGCACGAAGGGCTTCTTTCTAGCACCACCTGCGTCCTAGGCCAGCTACCCAGCCTTATGCATTTCTAAGCTGCGCTCCTCAGCTAGGAGGCTGCTGGGTGGTTCTCGTGTAAATGCTGGAGATGTTTGTTGTACTAACATTTATCTTCTTGCTTAAGGGCAACAGAAACACATGTCTCTTCTTAAGATTGTGGAAAAATATGATTGAAATCAGTGTATGATTTGGGGGAAGATGATTCTCAGTCTAATGTCACTGGAACTTTAGCCTGGAGGCCTTTACGGGATCAGGCAGGGAAATGAATCTCCCTAACAACTTGGTCATCTCAAGAGTTCATGAAAAATTCCTTCAATGATTTACTCTGTGCAAATACTGAATCTTTCTCCTTAGGGCTTTCAGATGTGAGTTTGAAAGAGGCTCACATTTCTGGACCTCAGACCATGCACATGTCATAGTTCCATCACCATTACTTTCAATACAGTATAAAAACAACAACACGAGAGGAATAGCACAGGTCACCTCATATAAATTCAATCACAGGTACTTGGGAATTTAAAACAAAGAAGATGGGGGGAGCAGCTGTGTGTGTGTGTGATCATTCTGTTTTGTTTTGGTTGAGACAGGTTCTTACTCTATCACCCCGACTGGAATACAGTGGTGTCATGCTATCATAGCTCACTGCCAACCTCAGATTCCTGGGCTCAAGTGATCCTCCTGCCTCAGACTCCAGAGTAACGGGGCCTACAGATTTGCACCACCAACCCCAGTGAAAAATAGAAAATTTTTCTATTTTTTGTAGAAACAGGGTCTCACTATGGTGTGGAGACTTAGCCTCTCCTCCAATGGAATAAACGGAGCTCAATCTAGTCTCAAAAATCCTGGGCTCAAGCGGTCTTCCCACCTAGGCCTCCCAAAGTGCTGAAATTTCTGGCATAAGAAATCTGATGGAACAGTTTAAATAGTGATGGCATGTCACTTGCCACTGTCCCCAGGAGCAGGTGTCCCGGTATGAGTCTGATACAAGAGAAGGGACTTCACTCCTCGCTATGGGTCTCTGTCCCATGGACCTCTGATGTGAGCAGTGGGGAGTCCTATGCTACAAACAACACATTCCTACACTGTGGCTCTGAAATACAAGCCAACTACTTCATCTGGTTCTCAACAGAAATAATACTGGTGGTCGGCTGTTTTTCTAGAAAAGACCAACGAGGCAAGTTAGGCTTATTGAGAGATGTACATCTTGTATCCTGAGCTTTAAGGCAATCAAGAGCATTTTCAAGGGTAATTTGGTCCACACGCAGCATTGTGCTTCTGAGTTTTGGCCTTTGCAATATAAACCTTATACTGTATGAAATGCTGAGCTTAGTTTTGCAATAGTAAACTTCTGATGTCAGGATTCTGCGAAATTTCTTTAGTTTAAAACTGATGGCTCTGTCACTACATTGAGTTTCCTAGAGTACAGTCTGGATAGTTAATAATCTTAAACCCACCAAAAGGGGAAATAAAAACCCACCAAACAATTTAAGTATCAACAGTCTGATCTTTCTGTTCTAATAGAATAGCAAGAAGAAATCTCAAATGGTGAGCCTGAAAAGGTCTCTTCCTAGAGAACCAACTCTGCAAATGTTTCCAGCTTATCAGTCAGTGCTAAACTTTTGAGCTGCAGACCTTTTCATTCATACCTATGGACCTCTTTGCCATAAAACAAAACCGTTCACGTTCCAAAGAGAAAAATGTGTAAGAAATTCAAACAAGGAAGGCAGGTTAGTAAATACTCTTGGAAATCCCTAGTTGATTGACCCAAGTCACAGTGGTGTTTCAGAACCCATGGGGCTGGTGACTGATCATGCTGCCTGCCACACGGAAGACACAGACTCACACAAACTCTCGAAATGTGAATGACTTCTGTGGGGACATGCTTGGTACCAGGTGAAAGTTGTCCAGTGGCCACATCATCTCACAGGGTCTCTGTTCATGGCAGCGCTAGAAGTCAAACGAATGCCCCTCAGGGTGGATCTGCATTCAGAGCCACCTTCAGTTGTACTAGTTCACTGCTCTTATTCAATCCTAGGCAAATGCAAAGGATATTTCTTTAAGGAAAAAGTGGCATGACATTTTTAGGGTGTAGCCAGCTTTGGTTAGGAAGCAGCTTAAAGCGGGTGGATAAGATACAAAGGATCAGTGACAATCTAAATACATGAAGATGATAGTGTGACAATGTTAAGAAATGCAAGAAATAGGCTCGGTGCCCGTAGCACAGTGGTTATGGCACCAGCCACATGCACCAAGGCTGGCGGGTTTGAGCCTAGTCCGGGTCAGCTAAACAATGACAACTGCAGTAAGAAAATAGCTGGGCATTATGGCGGGTGCCTGTAGTCTCAGCTACTTGGGAGGCTGAGGCAAGAGAATCGCTTAAGCTCAAGAGTTTGAGGTTGCTGTGAGCTGTGACGCCACAGCACTCTACAGAGGGTGACATAATGAAACTCTGTCTCAAAAAAGACAAAAATAAATGCATGAGATAGGTAGGTCTTATTTATGTAGAGTCTAAATGAGACTCTGTTGAGAGGGAAATGGCAGAAGAGAGTCCTGGGATTCCAACACACCCCCAGGCACAATGCTGATCAGGGTGAAAGCAGTGTTCTTTCTGATCCCTGGTCTACCGGTTTTATTACTTTGTCCATTGAAGAAGAGTAGCATCATTAAAAATGGAAACAAAGCACCTAAATCATTGCAGATAAAAGACATCGATCTTCAACTGATTCATCATTGTGGTTAGAATTGTAGAATGTTACAGTACAGTGGCCAGACAGAGTGAGTCAGGCTTGTCATCTCAGCATTTTGGGAGGTTGAGGCACAAAGATTGCTTGAGGCCAAGAGTTCCGGACCAGCCTGAGCAACACAGTGAGACCCCATCTAAACAAAAAATTAAAAAATTTGCTAGACACAGTGGGGCACACCTGTTCCCAGCTACATGGGAGGCTCAGGCATGGACTGCTTGAGTTCAGGACTTTGAGGATGCTGTGAGCTACGATTATGCCACTGCACTCTAGCTTGGGTGATAGAGCAAGACCCTGTCTCTAAAAATAACTAAAAAAAAGAAAAAGAACGTTACAGGCCAGGCCAGCCACAATAGATATTAACATATATATATTTAGCATTTTCCCCTGGCTCAGTGGGTACGTGGCTTTTCCCAGATAATAGTTTTAGGATAGAAAGAAAGATACCCCTGCAAATAGCATCTCATTTTCCTTCTTATTCAGGGCAGATATTGATAAAGCTGCAGAATTGCCTGGGATGGGAGTTTGGATTTTTCTGGGGGGGAGGTACCTATGCGCTTGGCTTTCTTTTTTGTCTCTGTGAGAAAGAGAATGAATGTCCCCTGGGTGGTATCTTGTAGGACATGCGACCAAGAGACACCGGAAAAAGACAGTGATGCATCAGAGAAACTGAGTCAGGCAGTTGCTCATGGGACATCCTCCCTGGATAGTTCAGACACTTGAGCGAGAGAGGAGAGGGGGAACAAGACCAGAGTATACACATCTCTGGCTACAGACGCGTGCTCCGCCATCTTGGCCAAATCCCCTTTATAAAAATACAATTCTTTTGACACATGGTAACGAGAAAACTTTTTCCCTCCTCTTTAATCATCAAAGTGTTTCTGGTTTCAGGATTCATTTTCAGGAGATTATCTGATTTATAAATTCATAAATAAGATTGTCTTTCCATTTCATGGTTGGTAATCTGGAAACAATTTTATGGTTTAACTAAATTACAGCAATGGGAAACTCAGGCAACCCTCTCCCATGATGAAATGTTATAGAGGGCGTTTTAATGTGAAAGGGAAAAAACGGGAAATGCAGTGGAAGAAAAGACATTCACGCAACCCCGTCATTTTATTGCGAGCCCAATTTTGTATGCTGATCATTAGACTATTGAAGATGCTGAGGCTAATTCTCGCCAGTATCTCTTGGTTTAAGGTATTACGGGACTGGTATAATTACTGCTGAAAAGATGATTTAAAAACCATTTCATAAACCATTTTAAATCCTCCCATAAACCATATTTATGTGATTAGTATGTACTGTGAACTAGTCATTTGGTGCCAGAAGTCAGCCTGGATGAATGAATCTTTTCAGGGCCCAAACATAGTATTAATACAAAAATTCTAGGCAAACTCAGGAAAGTGCTGAGCCTAGAATAAAAGTCCTGCTACTTGAACCAGCTCTCCTACAAGTCCTGTATCTGACTGTGAAGACAAAGCAGACCACCCTGCTCTCTCTGTCTTTGGATGGCAAAGAAGGAGAAACATCTGTATTCGGGGCATTATTTTTTTGTCAATGACTCCATTTATACAAGTTATATATATATGTGTATATCTGTATGTGTGTATATATACATATATATACCAATCTGAAAAGCACAAAGCATAGGATACAATTTTTTTGATTCAAGTTTCACCTTCAACATTTGTTTTTTGAGGCAGAGTCTTACTTTGTAGCCCTGTACAGTGGGTGGCATCCTATAGAGCTCACAGCAACCTCAAACTCTTGGGCTCAAGCAATCCTCCTGCCTCAGCCTCCCAAGTAGCTGGGACGACAGGTGTCTACCACAATGCTTGGCAAGATTTTCTATTTTCAGTAGAGAAGGGGTCTCACTCTTGCTCAGGCTGGTCTTGAACTTCTGAGCTACAGGGATC